TATAGAAAATAAGGATAATTATGAAATAAATAAAATTATAACAAAATGTAATATTCTATAACTAGGGAAAAATTAAGAAATTAAGAAATTTTATGTCACTATGGTAATAATATATAAAAAATAAATATATTATTTAAAATTTAATAACTTAATATAATTTTCAAAATAAAAAAAATTAATAGTTAAAAATAAAATATTAAAATATATAATTTACTTGATTAATACTTTATTTATTATTATTCCTTAGCTAAATTAATTTTTATTATAAAAAATAAATATTTTATTTAAAATTCAATAACTTAATATAATTTTTAAAATAAGAAAAATTAATAGTTAAAAATAAAATATTAAAATATATATTTACTTGATTAATACTTTATTTATTATTATTTCTTAGTTAAATTAATTTTTATTATAAAAAATAAATATTTTATTTAAAATACAATAACTTAATATAATTTTTAAAATAAGAAGAATTAATAGTTAAAAACAAAATATTAAAATATATAATTTACTAGATTAATACTTTGTTTATTATTATTTTCTTAGCTTAATTAATTTTTATTATAAATTTATAATATATATTTAAAAATATTTTTTGATTATTTTTTTAATATAAATAATTCAGAAAAGCTATAATTATTCTTATTTTAAATTATTTAAGTCTAATATTTCTAAATATATATTTTTTACATCTTATTACAATATAAATCTCTATATTATATACTTTTTTAAATTTATAATTATAATATATAAATTATTTTTTTATACTTTTTCTTTTCATTATTAAATATATTTTTTAAATTATTTTACAATATTTAATAAATATATTATTTTAATTTATTTAATAATTTCATTAATTAAGAAAAGATTACTTGATATTTTATTATTAATTATATTATTATTATTAATTATATTTATATTAACTAGACTTTATAAAGTAAGAATTTTTTTAAATAGAAAATAAAAGAACAATATGATAAAGTAATATTAAAATATATCAAATTATATGAATATTTTATTAAAAATAAAATTTTTAATAGTTCTTTATTTTTTATATAATATTAAAGAAAATTTTTAATAATTAAAAAATATATTTTCATATTTAAATATATTCAATTAAATTATATTATTTCAAAAAAATATATAAAACTGCCTTTTTTTACTATAGTACAGAGGGGATATATTTAAAGATTTATTTGCATATGTGATATCGATATGCAAATGTAATTTTTTAACATTGGAAATATTTAGTGTATAAATTAACATATTAATATTAACGTTAACGTTAATACATTTACACTCACTGGACAAAAGTTTGGAATCAGAGGTGATCGATATAAATAAAGGAGTGAGTTGCATTATTATTTATGCAACATACAAATATCTAATTTTAACATTCAATAGCTCTTTAGAAAGCTAAAATCATAAGCTTTAAAATAATATAAAAAAATAGGTCAAACTCAATCAATACTCACAGAAAATTACCAACTTATGAAATTTGGGTATGGCGAGATAGTCAGCACTTGGAAGTGTAGTTTTTCCGAACAAAAAATAGAAGAAACTCTAGGATAACCTAAATCTATAGTTCATAATATCATACAAAAATATAAAGAGTTTGACCAAATCACAGTTATTGTCTGAAGCGGTAGATTACCAATATTAAATGATAGAGATACCTGAAGAATAATCAACATTGTGAAAGATAATTGGCAATAATCAGTTGATAAAATTACTGAAAAATTCAGGAAATTTCAGTTAGTTCTAAAACTATACGTTGTTATAATCTTCATAAAAGTGGATTTTTTGGTCAGACTGTTCTAAGAAAACCTTTCATATCTGAGAAAAATTGTCGTAAACAATTAAAATGATATTTAGAATGAAAAGATCGGGTTCTTGAATAGAAATTAGTAATTTGGAGTGATGAATCAAGATATTTAATATTCAGAAATGATTCACGGCAATGGATTTGGTGAAAAATATGACATTGATTATCTTTTTCCTAGTATAAAATTGGATAATTGAGGAGTAATGTTTTACCTGAAATACACTCAGACCATTAATCAAAGTTGACAGTGCAATAACTGCCCAAAAATATGTAGAATTTCTTGAATGGCATCTTCGACCCTTTTTAGATGAACTACCAACTAGTTCTATTCATCTTTTTCAAGATGATAATGCGCTGGTTCACAGAAATTATCATGTTGATAAATAAAGAGAGAGAAATCTAATAGCTTCACTTTCATGGCCTGCCCAGAGTCTTGATCTAAATCCAATTGAGCATTTATGGGATGTTTTGAAAAGATGAATTCATACATGACCAACACATTCCAAAAATCCAGAAGAATTGATGGATGTACTCATGGAGGAATGGAATGAAATCAGTCCGGAAATTTTAAAAAATTTGGTTGAAAGTATGCCAAGGAGAGTGCAAGCTGTAATTGATATAAATGGGTATCCAATTTTATATTAAATATATGTATGAATAGCCCTACTTTTGCTAAATAAAATGATATATTTTTTATCATAATTTATTTAAAGAGAAGTTGAGAAATATTAATTAAAAGTTGTATCAATATTCGTGACCTATATTACTGATCATTTTCTGATTCCAAACTTTTGTCCAGTGAGTGTACATGTATGAGAGCCATATGTATAGTTCTGGTGGAAAGTAATGGCGGTTGGTTTTTATTGAAAATAAAGCAAAAACTAATAATTAACCTTCAAAAAAATTATATTTTTATTATAAATATAATCAAACTATTATATATACAAAATATTAATATTTTGTGTGATTTTCTTCCATAGCAATGCATTCTTGAATGCGATTTTGCATACTACAGATACTATTAAGTAGCATCATATTTGGAAAATTTTCCCATTCCTCCTTCACTAATGTAATGAAGATTTCTTGTCACATACTCTGCTTTTGTGCCATCATTTCTTTAACTCTTTTCTTCATATTTCGTTTAAGAACTGCCTAAATATTCTTGATAGGATTGAGATCTGGACTATAGGATGGCTATGGCAAAACGCAATTTGGAAGTCATGTTTCAAGATCATTTCGGATATCATTTGAGATGTGCTTGAGATTGTTGTTCTGTTGAAAGATTCACCGCCAATGCCCAAATATACGAGTTGTATTTTCATATAAATGATTATTGAGAATTTGACGATAAAGATGATAGTCCATATTTTGTGTAAAGGTATGCATGTCTACTTTTCTGCGTACACAAATTGCACCCCACACATGAACTTTAAATGAGTATTTTGTTATTAGTGCAGTTGATTTACCAGAATGAGATCATGCATGACAGATATTTCGGGATAATTGCAAAGTTATTTCATCAGAGAATATGATCTTATTTCAATTATAATTAACGTGGTCATGTGACCATTGAAGTTGATTTTCTTTTGCACGTTGGGTAAGGAGTGGAACATGTCTCAGCAATATCAAAATATAACCGAGCCTAAAAAACTCGTCACAAACAGTTCGGTCACTGATTTCAAAGCCTGGGTGAGTTTCTTCAAGCTGTGCTTTTATTTTGGCTGAAGTAGTAAAGCGATTTAATTCCAAGATTTTTCCGATTTGGTGACATTTTTTTGATGTTGTTTTACGCAGATAATCAGGATGATGGATTGCTGAAATATTACTATTTTTACAAAGAGAAGATATATATCGTTCAACAGAATGAAGAGGAACTCCAGATTTATTAGCTATTTTGGTGACATTATGGTATTTTTTGCGCCAAAAGTACTTAATGACTTCATGGTTCGATTTTATAGTGCTACGTGTCATTTGTGGGGAAAAATAATGTGATTCAGTAAATATTTTGATAATCAAGTAAAAATAAAAAATGTAATACATTACCTTATTAATCAATGTTTTCATCAGGGGTTTGATCCAATTTCGGCAGAGACCTACACTGCATAGAATATGCATGAAAGTGTCATCGCCATTACTTTCTGCCAGAACTGTATCTATAAAATCTGTGAAACCTGGCCTAGCCTTAATAAAAAATCTATTTTTGTAATTTGCATACTTTCCAAACGAAATAATTATCTTAGTTTTACAATACGTGATATATGGAACAACGTAAATAAGAAACTGTAATTTATTATTGTAATTTTCTGGGTAAACACAAAGACGATTTTAATTTTGGATTATACATGTATTAATAAATGAAGGTATAAATACTTTACGAAATTACGGCATACTTGCAATTTATGGAATTTGCTCATACCGGATATTGTATCAAATCGAGATTTAAAAATGATTTAGTGCGTACCGGTACAGATATTATTATTATCAATAAATAACGATCACTCAAATAGACGGCATGTGATATACGATCATTAGAAAAACGAGTAGAATTTATGGCATCTCCACAGTTCACACACGAAAACAACAATTTCTACACATTCATATTCCCGAAAAACCATTCTTCTTTATCATCTTCAAAAGTATCCAACGAAAATAATAACAGTATTGCTGCTACTGTAACGACGACGACGACTCATTTTGCACAACATGTTCTTGTAAAATTACAATTTCTAAATCGGATACAAGCTCGGCTCTCCCGATTGGATGGAAAACTATTGAATTGATTCCGATTTTTATTTATAATCTAAACGAGGCATCCTTACAAGAACTACGTATCAAAGAAGGACTATGGATTGCATACGTTAATACTGTGAACGAACAACAGGAGGTAGACGTTGAAATTAGGCATTGTAAATTTTCGAAGAAAATATTATTGTCGTTGGTGGATATAATTGATCAGTTATATGGCGCTGTTGGTATGTTGGGCGTTAGTGCTGATGAAGAGTAAGAGAAATATCAAGTGATATTATCATTATTCTTTTTAGCCATATATATGCACATGTATTTATGATTATTACCGTCTGTATGCACTATACCACATGAAATCAAATAGAGAATGAAGATGTTTCGAATGCCATACAAATTCATGATGAAGCACCAAATCAAAAATAAAACTAAAAGAAATGCTGTACATTTCTAAGGCATTATTTTCAATAAATAAACCATTCGTGATTGTTTTACAACAATAATTTTTCGCGTTTGAAATACTAAGGTTAGAAATTATTTAAACAGTCAAATTTAAAATCATGACAAGAGAAATTAATGTGGAATTGTTTATTGATGCCTAATTATGAGACAAAGGAAGGTATCATGTCTTGATCAGATAAATCAAATTCGAATATTTGATTTCTCTGTGGCTTAAATTCCATTGAATACAATTCCACTAATGTAATTCGTACCGAGGAGTGTGACAAATGTAGTGATGTCATTGACGATCGTTGGACAGTCTTGAATAACAATACATGTAGCGATAGGCAAATACATGTTCAATTCAAAATGTTTAGCGTTAGGTACAACATAATGAACTTATGGTCATATCCTGGGTAATGATTCTTTCCTTACACGAACCCGGGGTATGTATTTTAGGACAAAGTGTTGATAGCTCGCCGGTAAAATGCGTACATACATGTACATGTATATTGAATGGAAAAAATGGTTGTTACACACGTGTGTGTTACTTTAAAGGGAATTCATTCACTGGATAACAGTAATATCGAAAACTTTATCGTTATGGTTGTTAAATTAATCAACTTTTAAGACCCTAGTCTAAATTTTTCCATAATGGAAATTGATGAAAAATTAGCAGAAACCATAAATCAAATATTTGTAGACGCAATTCAGAACAACAGTATGTCTGAAATTGCCTCTTTGATAATTCAATATCTTGGCAATACAAAAAAAGAACATGAAACATTGTTTAAATCCTTGTTACTTGCAAATCAAAGAGGTAAATTTTTTACGTTGCGTGGTTTTTGTGAAGATAATGGTATGGTATCAAACATTTTTAGTGTCAGCATGTTGAAATTTCTCTCTGGACTCGTGATCAAAGTAATTTATGAACCTATCTTTTAACAAGGAATCGGAACATTGTGGAATCCTAAACGAGCATTCGAATTTTTCAAAACAGGAGCATCATCTGGAGAAACAAGTGCATATCGTTTCATGGCATATTGTTTCCTTGAGGGAATTGGCACAAATAAAGACGAAAAAGAATATTTTGAATGGACAAAAAAATATGCGGAAACAGGTAGTCCTATGGGATATTTCAGACTTGGAGTGTCTTTTGAAGATGGAATTGGAACTGATATCGACCTGACATCTGCTTTTCAATGGTACGAAAAATCCGCGCACGCTGACAATCCATTTGGTCAATTACATCTGGCCGTGTCATACATGGATGGATTAGGCACAGAAAAAAATCAGAATCTAGGATTCGAATGGATGAAAAAAGTCGCTACCTCAGAAAGAACTAGTCCAGAAGCACAATATAATCTAGCAACGTATTATTTCAAGGGATTTGGAACAGCGGTAAATTATGAATCAGCGTTTTACTGGTATAGGAGGTCCACATTACTCGGCGATCCTGACGCGGCATATCATCTTGGAAAACAGTATTTCGATGGTCAAGGAACTGACATACATCAGAATAAAGCTTTTCGAGCGTGGATGAAAGCTGCACATCTCAAAGGCGCTAAACATGAATTGGCTGTTTGTTATGATGAGGGAGAAGGTACAAACAAAGATATGCATGAGGCTATCAAATGGTACAGGAGAGCAATTTCAGTTGGACATGCTTATTCTTTTAATTGTTTAAAATTAGTTTTTCGTAATATAAGATTTCACTAAATTTCTTTGTATTTAGCTTATTTTTCTTACTCCATTTTCATTCTAAAGTCATTTCGAAACAATAGCAGCCAGGAAGAATTGATTTTAAATCTCGATAGAAAAATTTCGTAGCTGTATTTGTCGTAAACCTCTGACTAAAGTAGTGTTTTTCGGGTTAGCTACTTCAAATGTATGATACTTGGTCAGCAAGTACTTTAGTCAGAGGTTTAAAAGATAGCCTTGTATTTTATAGAGTTTGCTCCTTTTTTTTTTTTAGCTTTTAGCTTCATTTATCAATATCATTGAATGATAATGGTTTCGGTGAATCATTACTAGTTCGGTCAACCCTCGCTAATATGACATTTTTGTGCACAGGAAGGAAAACTGTCATAATAGCGAACAATTTTATATATAGCTTTATACAGGACTGTATTGTTTTGATTTGATCATGTAAACAAGGTTGTCACATTAAGGGTTTCATATTAACGAGGTTTGACTGTACACTTGTTATGCCGAGAGTTAGATTATCTAACTACAAGATACCCTAGCTTTTTAGTTTCCGTCCGTCATCCTAACAATCGCAATAAAAGCTTTCGATACTAAAAAATTTTTGGGGATATTAGATATAATGGTTACTAAGTAACATATTAACAAACATAAACTCAGCTTCATAATTTTTCTAGCTGACTTGTTTTTAAACGTTGATAAATGACATCAAAATTTGAGCTTAATTCCGAACTTGCGGGTAAAAGAATCTCAAACAAGGGCAAATATAAAATTGAAAAGTGTCTTCTTTCAATTGAATGTGTATTTACTGTCATACCAAAGGAAATGGATTTGATCTGTGACATAACGATAACGATAAGGATATTAAGCATTTGTAAAACAGAAAAGATTTTTCCGAGTCGGTTACTCTCAATACATGTAAATTATTTTATTCCTATATTTATTCATTATAAAATAGATTAAATCCCACAAAGCTTTGGAAATTCATTGCAATTTCTGGATTTTCTTTGTCGAATGTGTTGTTCAGCCGGAGGTTACCATATCTTTAGTGATTTGTCTATACTGAAAAGATGAAAATGTGCTTTAGAAAATAATTGTTAATTTCAGTCTTAAAGGATTTGAATAACCTTTGAATTTCACAAACTTTTTTAATAGAAAGCAGCAGTAAACCATTTCTTCCAAGACAGCTTTTAAATCATTGTATACATGTAATAAAGGAGTCAAAATTAACGGGCGATTTATTATTGTGCTTAAGCTCAAGTAAATATAAGCTATTAGACACATGTGCTAAAATAATTTGTTTTGTAAAAACTACAACATCCACCCGATTATTAAAAAATTTTCTATTATAATTTATTGTCATTGTTTTTCAATGAATTTGTTATTCATTAAAGAAGTGCTGAAATAACTTGATTAATAGGAAAAATTAGGCTATTATTATATGAGAATATGAATTTGAAGACGATAAAAAAAGAATGTGCAAGTTGAATTTTTATTATCAAAGGGATAAGATTCAGTTCTTAACGTTAACTTTAAAAAACATCAATCGTTTTTTTGTTAGTATTAAGGTGCTTTTTTAACGTTAACGTTAACAAACAAAATAAATTGTGAAATCCATACGTCTTATCAGCAACATTGATTACGGACGGCTTTCAAATGATAATAAATTTACCTTGAACCCGCAATCATCAAGACTGGCTAGCCTGCTCTTCCAACTTGAATCCATTAGAACACCCCTATTGGATAAAAATGATGTCTAACAATTCTTTTAATTACTATTACAAATAAAAATGAATACACGATTAAATCGATATGCTTCAGTAACGGTAATCAGAAAATAGTTTTAAGTAATTCATGAAATAATTTTTAAAACACTATAAATCATACATCATTCTCAAAAATAACTTTAATACATCCTTCTAACTTTTTTTCGAAAATTGTGTATCCGTGAACAGCATCACGCAGTTTGAAACGATGCGACACAATTTTTTCGACGTTGTATTTTTTTGTTACAAGTAGCGGAAGGGACTTGTTTATCATATGACGAACAGGACAGCGACCTGATTTGTATGTTAAGTTTTTGTCGTAACCGCTTTTGAAGGAAATAAAATAGGGAATTAATAAAATTATTTCGCTATGTAAATAAGAGAAATGTTGCATTACTTTTTGGGACTAAATGGAAACACTTTGCTTGTGTGTACTCCAACGCTTGAGATGATGCCGGCCGGACGAATTATTTTGAATGCTAATTCCAAAGCTTTATTATTTCCAACAACCTAATAAAATCATTATGTTGGCAATATAAATCCAAAAAAAAAACTCAATACACACATGATATACAAACCTCTAAAACAACATCCGCTCCACGTGTATCGGTAACACTTTTAATCTTCTCATATACATCCTCACTCGAAAAATTAATCACAGTCTTTGCCCCGTACTCTTTCGCTAACTGCAATCTTTCATCAATATTATCAACCGCTAATACATTTTTAGCTCCCAAATATGTAGCAGAAACAATACTCATCAGTCCAACCGGACCACATCCAAGGACCACAATAACACTTTGTTCTCGCTCAATGACTGACAAATTTCCGATTCCATTTTCAGCGCAAAATAATCCGGTAGAGAGTACATCTCCAGCTAGAAGAGCTTCAATGTTTGATATTTCTTCCGGACACTTTACCAGTGTTGAATCGGCTAAAGGAACTCGAACGTATTCTGTTTGTGCACCGTGAATTCCGTCGCCATTTACTATCCAACCGTAGAGTTTACCTTTCTCGCAACGGCACGTTACTCCTCGGATACAATAAAAACACTGATTTTAAAAGTTAATTAAAAATTATCAATGGGAAATATAACATTCCGACTTCGAATATTTTTTAACTTTATGCGTTTTTACCTCACCACAATTGGTCGTAAAGGGTGACAATACTCTATCGCCGATTTCAAAATTTTTCACATCTAGACCTTTTTTGTCCACTATTCCGACAAACTCGTGACCCATTATCGTTCCTTTGTCCAGTCCTTCTTGGTGCCCTCTATAAACTAATAAAAATGTAAATTAATGAAGACTGAACGTTTCATATTTGATGTGTGTATTTACTATTTATTACCATGAAGATCTGAACCACATAATCCACTAACAATCACTTTAACTATAACATCCGTTGGCTCGATTAACTCTGGTAATGGTACTCTCCTGACGACGATTGCATAAGGTTCTTGATAAGTTACTGCTTCCATTGATTATTTTTATCAAAATTAGAATAAAAGAATTTATTAACGTTAAGGTATCTACTACGGAAAAATATGATAAATATACTTTTTTATCTCGCTATTACCATTTTCGTGCGTTTGATGACACATGTAAATGTAATGATAATCAATTTTCGATAAATCTAGAAGACTAGCAAAAAATTTCCCCACACGGAATTAACAAAGATTACAATTTTTTCTTTTTTGTTACAATAACGATAACTGCACTATCCTACCAACGATTATCGTTAGTTAAATGAGATGTAAAAATAGAACAACTTGGAAGAAATTTAACATCATCACATACAACAAAATTACAAAGTAAAATTTTTTTTTGATTGAATTTGAAATTGCATTTTTTATTGTAGACATTTTCTAGTCTCCTTTTGGATACTTTGTTGGAAAAAGATAATAAGCAGCTTCCAATACAAATTTTATTGAGCATGTAATACATGTACAGGTATTCTGATGTCGCAATCGTACATTAAACAAAAAGTCATCCTAAATAGCTTTATCGTCTTCATCAAAAACGAATGGCTTGAACATGCGATTGTAATAAAGCTTTATTATTTCTAAAAAGTAGTTGGCAGAGGAGCATTTGACGAAGTGTCAAAGCGGATGTTGCGTTAAAAAGATTTTGGATAATAAAAGAAAAATCAAAGAAAACGATAAATAAAGAATTCATTAAAGAGTTACCATATTTGAAATAAATAAAGTCCAATATAATTAATATATATGTTGATAATCATGAGAATGTATGAAGTAGAAGGAAAAATTATGTTTTTAAGCTTTAGCAGGAACTATCTAAATTTTATGAAATAGATCCCAATTCGAATGGATACATTTATGTTTTTGAGTATGCTAATAGTGGCATTTTAAAAGATTACTGGAAACAATAAATTAAACTTAACATTAGCTGAAGTATTAGAATTTATTCATAATTCTGGAATACATTAAAAACAATATTTAGATAAAGTAATTCTAATATTAGTGCACCGAGAAAATCAAAATTTCGGATCTATGATATTCAAACTCTCAAATAATATTCGATATTGTTATTTAAATTTCAAACTGGACTGGGAATGATAATCTAGGCGTTCTTATTGGACACTGATAATTATCTTCGAGACGAAAGTTTTCTTCAGTTTTGAGATTCTTAATGGGTCATATCTAGTGGTCGCACTCCAACCAACCAATATGGGTATTCATTTTCTAATCCAACCAACGAAATTATAATATCTGGTACTCTTAGTAAATACAGTGAGCTTTATAAACAATGCTGGGATAAAAGTGAATCAGAAACTTAAAGAAATTGAATGACTGGCTGCCACTGGAAAAGAGAGAATTAGCAGATAATATTTCAATCAGCACCCTTCAAAGCAGTGAAGAAAATATAGAAGGCATGTTATTAAAGCACAATTAAATCCCTAGATTTCAACCGAAAGGACTTGGTTCAAATAACCAATGAATTATCGAATGTTTATATAATATAGTTGATTCTGATGAACACGGTACGCACTGTATTTTCTATCGAAATTTATATAATCAAATTCAATATTATTAATAGGTAATTTATTACTCGATAATATATTCATTTATAATGATACATAACAAATATAGCGATTACTGTAAAGATTTGAAAAATTTTGAACTGCATTCAAAAATGTTAAACTACGTATACAATTCTATTATATAAATTATTAACAGCTTATAAAAGAGAATGAGAGAATAAAGTAGAAAATATAATTTAGATTAAAAAAAATTTTAAATATGAAAATTTAAACCCATTTTTAAATGCAATATTAGCACTATTTTTGGCACTTTTATCTTTTTGTGTTCAATTCCATCTCTCAACACCAAGCATACACTTTCCGCAAACAATTCAACTAAACTTTAGTTTGCCTTTATTGGGATTTTTATCAATATGGAATAAATATAGTCAAGAATAGCATAGCAATTCAAAATGACTTATTATCGCAACTTTTACTGCAAATTGCTTCTTTATGAAATCGGAACACAAAAAGACGAGAAAAAAGCATTTGAGGGATATTTGAAATCAGCAGAGTGAATGTTATAAACTTGCTTAAACATCATACAGAAGTTCTTGATAATATTAATTTAAACACTCTTAAATCAGACTTGTTATGCTATTACACTTTAATTAAAAAGTAGAATTACTCAATAATTACATGTAACCATAAAGTTCAGATCAAATTATTTAACTATCAGAGGGTTTCTAAAGGATTCCTAGGATGATTGTATGCAAATCAACCTAAAGGTGAGAATTGAAAAAAAGTTTCAAATATTATAATGAATGATTTCTGCTAATCAAAAACTATTAAAAATTAAATTGACAGGACTTTTATTTTGACCTGCACAAAGAATCAAATAACAATAAATTAAATTAATAGGAACTTATTAATGTAGCCTGTAAACGATAATTAAAATTCTAAAAGCACTTTGCACAAAACAGTTGTTTAACAGGACTTATTGGTATAATTCAATTATAATATGATTATGTCTTATTTAAAAAAATATCAATTTATTGTTATAAAATAATGTAATTTTTTTAATTTTGCAGACATAATAGTATTTGGTGCTGAAAATGAATCTTTTCTTGCTCACAGCTATATTTTATAATATTCTACTAGGTAATCTCTGGATATGTTAAAATTTCATTGATATATTATATTAATTTCAGCTTTTCTATTATCTAATATACTTTCTTTTATTTAAATATTTTGTACAATATATTTTGCAATATCAATTATACATTCAATTCTGATTATCAAACCTTATGAATTTTTGTATGTCTCTTACGTTTATATGAGGAATGAGCATTCAGATATATTTAATTAAAAAATAATGTTACAAATAAATAAATATTTTATAGTTGCACTTCAAATTCATGATCGTTCCCATATTCCTTGTGAGTATATTTTCTTTTTTTCTAAAAATAATGTACAAAATAAAACATACCAATACGCATGTTGGAAAATAATTATTATGCCTGATTGAAAAATAGTGTTATTCTGCTTGATTATGTTTAAAGGTGAGTTTCCTTTGCAATAATAATAAGTATTGTATTTTGATTTCGTTATTGGTTTCCGTTTAAGATATTATGAAATAATAATGAATTTTTTCGATATTCTGAACTGGTACCGTGAGAATAACCAATGGTAATAAAGTTAGTCGAATATCAATTTTCACAGTAATGATTTATCGATTTATTTATTATGTAATTTCTTTTTATAATCATTCTTTATTGCATAATTTAATCGGTATGAGATTTTTTATTCATTTTATTTGTCCATCTATCTTATTTTGTGCCTAAATTTTTCTTTCTTTAGATACTATT